CGCGTTTACGCTTTCTTTCTTCTTTTGTCGTTTCCTGGTCTTCCTTTTTAACTTGTTTTGCTATGTAGAATAACTGTCGCCAACTATCCGACACCGCCACAGAAGGATTTTTTCTTTTGTTCTTTTCGGTTTGGCAGATTGAGGAGAATCTGGCCAAAAAAGACATCTTTTAAATGGTGTGGGTACATCGATTAATTTCTTGGGAGAAACTTCATTTTCGTTAGCGAGAACTGTTTCGCTCTTTTCTGCGTTGTTTTCGGTATTTAAGGACAACTTTGCTAATTGCTGCGTCTTTTTTCTTTTTTTTTGCTCTTGTAGAATTTTTTCTTCTTCGCGTTTACGCTTTCTTTCTTCTTTTGTCGTTTCCTGGTCTTCCTTTTTAACTTGTTTTGCTATGTAGAATAACTGTCGCCAACTATCCGACACCGCCACAGAAGGATTTTTTCTTTTGTTCTTTTCGGTTTGGCAGATTGAGGAGAATCTGGCCAAAAAAGACATCTTTTAAATGGTGTGGGTACATCGATTCATTTCTTGGGAGAAACTTCATTTTCGTTAGCGAGAACTGTTTCGCTCTTTTCTGCGTTGTTTTCGGTATTTAAGGTACTTCCTTTGGCAATTAAGTTGTTGGGAGAACCTGTATGTTCGTTATCCTTCTTTGTGTCCTGATCCACTATAGTTTGTTCATGTTCAAGATTGTTGATATCTAAATTCTCGTCATGTATAATAACACCATCTTCAGCTGTTGACACTTCAACATTTTCAGGTACCTACTGCTGTTGCTTTTTTATGTAGGATCCCCTATTTTCTTCGCTTCTCTCTGCCATAGTCGATCGGTATTTTTTTCGTTTTCTTGGTCTACCATCTTTAATGAGTGTGACTTGCGTGACTTGCATTGTCACATCATGCAGAATATTTTCAATTATTTCTGCATCAATATTTTTGATTGAGATGATTACATCTGACAGAGCAGCGCATATGAAAACATTACTCAAAATATTCACTTTCTTCTCGGAGCCTCCCTCGTAAATTCAGAATAGAATTTATGTTTATCAAAACATTTGATTGTTTAGAAATGGAAAATTCATTTTCACTAACCATTAGCTTGTAATGCGATCAGTTCATCATCTGACTCTTCAGAACCACTGAAGAGTATATTGTCAGCGTAAAATCTGGATCATTAGATTTTTTTACTGTGAATTCGACCAGCCTTTATATTTGAAACTTTCTCCCTTTGCAGGCGGTTCAATGGTAAAGATACCAGCCTTTTATCTCTTTCCATTATTTTTGACGAATTTATGGAGATTACAGCACGACACATTCATGAACATTAATTCATAATGCACCAAAGAATGTTACAACCTCAAATAAACACGTTACGCTATATCATGGCCTATCTGCGCAGACAGATAAATGTTAAGCTAACAAGGCGTATCCGTGCGTGAACGTTGTAGATACGTCATTTAGTCCTAACATAAGCCGTAGATTAGCCCTATTTCAATAACAATATCACGTCTTTTCTGCCCAACAAATAAGAATAAATTGTAGATACGCCATTTTGTTTAAACGGTCTATCGCCTATATAAATACTAGATACGCCGTTACGTCGTAACACTTACGAAGAAGGACGTTAAAATGCGTCTAATTCAATTTTGAGTAAATTTGCAGATACGTCCCTTTGAATTAACACGGCAGTATTTGAAATATTTAAGAATCCATCAGTTCCCTTAAGAACCTTAACTGCAGCGGGCTGATCGTCGCACTCTTTCCACTCTATAGATTACCTAATCTAATATTGTCTTCCTTATATACGGAAAAATCTCGATTATTTGAAATCGAAACCTATTTAAATCATTCAGTTTCTTAAATAACTAATCTTAAAAATATTCCAAAAATGACACCAAATTCACATAAACACCATTATCAAACGATCGATGCGTATAAATCCAGCAGCCAAAGTTACGGAAATATTGGCGACTATACTTAGTTAAAACGTCGGAATAAGAGAGCGCAACTTGCAAGTAAAATACCCGTATGTAGCACACGGATGCCGGGTTTTTACTTTGGAATGGGCGCATACGATGTTTTAACTTAGTTTTTCTGTGCTAAATGGCGTTTACGGGGTAACATTTTTATGAATAAAATAGGTTATTCGGTAAATGCTAGGATTTTACTACGCAATTCAATTATTTACGTTTAAGGAAATTTTCTACCTCAATTTTTTTTCTTATTCGTTAATGGGTTTGTGACAGCTTGAATTTGATTTACTGAACTTTTCGTTTATTTTAGAAAAGAGACAGAGAAAGTGCAGCCAATAGCGATTTTTCACTTTGAAGAAAATACGCTAAAAAGCAACGTTTACCTTAATGTAAATTAGATGTCATCCAGAGAAGTGAGGTCAGTTCTCGGATCCATAAACCTGCAAACAAAAGAAAACTCCCAAGACGCACTCGAAATGCAATGAACTGAACAATCCCTGAAGGGCCTCGCCTTCTCGTAGTAAGCTTCTTTCACAAGCACGATACTTACTCGGCCAACCTCTCCACAGAGAAGTGGCCGGCTACCATAACATTCGCGTTTAAAACTCGACCATAACTTAACAGCGTTCGCAAAGATAACAAATAGGTACTGAAGGTAACAAATTAATATAATGCCATAGCTTATAACCCTGCCGGGGCAAAATAATTATCAATTATTACGTTAAACAGTTACGGAAGTTGTTTCATGGTTAACGATCGAATCCTTGATATCAAATCTGGTGCATGACCCAGCGACTCAATTTTAGCAAATGGTGGCTATAAGTTATAAATTAAAACTAAAGTTAGAACCCCACAATTAAAACCCTAAAAGAAAAATCAGAGGTCACTCTCTTCGTTGATAACGAAAAATGCACATACCTCTTTAAATAAGAGGGCTAATTACAGATGAATGCGCAACAATCGGCTATAGAAATTATACATTGGCATCAGTCGAAATCTAAAGAATGATACACGTCACGTAAATTAAATGCAAATGGCGTACTTACGATTACCCAGAAGAGATACAATTATATCCTCCCCATATAGAAGTAATCCCTCCATGAATCAATTCGGAATCCTCAATTAAACAAATTTAATCGCTAAATTTAAAAAAAACGATGGATGGCGGCAAATTAAATTCCGTGCGTTCTTCACTAACGCCTCAGCTGTTTTTTTACGAAGTGCACTATGTTAGAACGAAAAAGGAAGACGAACGTGCGGGCAATCGATAACCAACGCGCGCTAAAATTGGCGTGGTTAAAATTCCAACGATAGATGGAGGTTAGGTTAGGACCGTACGAGGATTTTTTTTGGATTAGGATTAGCATAAATTGCTCAAAATATTTCGTAAAATGGCATGAAATGCCACTATTGCAGGATTTAACTCTGTTCAAATAGGATAACATTCTTCGAAAGCGATAGACATTACTTAGTTTGCTGCAGAAACGTTTACGTATGATTAAAATTGTTTGTGGTTCCTTAGTGTTTTTGTTTCAGTCTTTGTTAACAAAAATTCGTAATAAATAGACGTGACCATGAACAAAGCGTAGAAATAGGTAAAAAGAAACAGGTAAAAAACATAGATTCGCGTACGTATCAGAAGCCAGATCCAATCATCATAGAACACTCGGCGTACTGTTTCGGTAGTTTAATATAACCTTTATCAAATGCTACCTAATTAATAATAATCATCAAGATGATTGGCTATCTGAAGTTTAATGTCTATTCTAATCTAACTATTCTACTATCAACTATACATTTTTAAGTAGTACACATGTATAACAATCTAATAAATACAAACAACGAAATAAATCTATAACAAAAAAATGGTAACTGAATGCGAATTGCAGTTATGACGTCAACGTTCACCACTAATAATCCTATTTAATACAATAGATCGCGAGTGCAAATGGCCTAGTTTACATCCTGGAGAGCAACTGTAATTAAAGTTGTGGTTGGAATTGGCGGTCTTCTACACTGTCAATGTGGTCAATTAAATTTTTGTCTAAACTGTTGAAACTAATTCGAAATTCTGATGTCTGTGGGGTAATTGCTTTTATTGGTAGTTACTGTATTGTTTAATTTTAGAGAATTCTTTACAAAAAAAAAACAGCCCGCTATAATAAGTTTCAGAAGTTTCAATTTTAATTAGACGTTTCAAACGTGGGCAGTAATAGCGGCTAATTAACGCGTAGCTACTAAAGTTACTTTGCAAATGCAAAAGCGCTATTTGGATGTTTAAGGAAAGTACTTTGCTTTCACTTTGTAACTTCTAACAAACGAATAAAATTCCCGCAACTTTCCAATAATAACTTAGTTATCATTGCCCTAAAATACCATTTCCTTTATCTGTCGTGGTCTTTGCCAACAAGTTATTAACGGTATCTATTGAGGAAATGCACCTTCCGGTAGCTGTTTATTAACGAGCTCCTAGCGAGTGAACTTTCTGTCCGTCCGTCCGCCCGTCAGTGGGCAAGATAACTCCCGAACGGTTTCGAATTTTCCAATTCTGTTTTCAGTATTTTGTTTATCATCGCCCAAGGAAGAACTGATTAAATGTGCAGTGATCTAGAAGCTTGTTTGCTATATTTGTTACAAGTTTTTAATTACATAAAATTATCATGTCACTAATGTAGAAACTGCCTAGCCTAAGGTAATCTTTTAGGTGACTGTAGAGGGCAAGGCTTATGCCCTTACCTATCGCGATTTTGGCTAATTTTAAGTTCAACAAAATTACTGACTTACGCAATTTAAGTCGAGTCCGCCCGTCGCTTGTTGTAAAAAAGGACCGTTTTCTTTTATTGTAATCAGCCTTATTCTGGTGACCACCGGTATGTACGCAATGTTGAAAACATTTCAACAGAGTTTTCAACGTTGCTAACAACGTTGATTGCAAGTTGCAATTCCCGTGACGTATTGTTTTTAGTGTTGATACGTTTTCAACGTTAAATTTTTTGCCAACTGTAAAACAGTGAAAGTAGTTCAAACAGTAGGTATGTAATATTACTAAAATTCGCGGGTAGTAGTCACATCTCTGGTAGTTCTACGTACTTCTAACCTAATAGAAATCAAACCCAAAATTTTTTCGTTTTGTAGTTTATAAGTGTTAATATGAATAGAAAGAAGACTAGCAAGTCTCAGTTTAAAATATATTTATCATATTTAAAGAGGCATGATATATTAATAACAGGAAAGTTGACTCCATCCACAAACACGGAGGGCCTAAAACAAATTTGGAATGAAATGGTCGCCAATCTTAATAGTTGTGGGGATGGTCCTGTGAGGAATATAGAGGGATGGAAAAAGGTAAGTGACAACATATAGTTTAGTAGATACATTATGTTACATTTGATAGGTATTTCGAGAATGGAAATGTATTATTAGAAAAAAAGCGAGAGAAGGAAAAGAGTTAAACGAAATTGAGCACGAACTAATTCGATTAACGGGCGAAATTGCTGTTACCGGATTAGATCATGTTGAATTGGGCATTACTGAGGGCATTAGCAATGAAGGTGAAACTGCAGAAGCTTCTCCAGATGTCGATTTCGACATTGAAAATTTAGAGGTTTGTGGAGTATACACAATATGTTATGGTAATTTGTCACATAGGTAGTGCAAGAGGATGAAGAGCGATTATCTGATGAAAATCTACAGCCCACATTACATAAAGAAAATGCAAATGCTGCTCTGCCGTCTACCTCTCAAAAAAAACGTAAAAGTAAGTTCCACATTTATTTTATTGGTAATTATACTACTCAAATTCTGTTTCAAAAATGTAGAATGTACGGAAAATCCCTTACTGAAAGCCTATGTGAATGCGCAAGATGAAGCAAGAGATGGCATGACAGATATTGCAAATGCTTTAAATAATATAGCAGCATCAATAAACAGATTTTGTGATGTGTATGAAAGAGTAAATCTTGATATGTAAATTTATTATGTACTTACATTTAAGGGTTGTGTAATACATTTTTTTTTGAGGAAATATTAAAAGGACTACCAAAGAACAATATAAAGTTTATTTAACTTATCTTCAAAAAAATAAACATACTTTACAAATACCTAAAGAAGATTTCCAAGTGATGTGTCTGGAACTGAACTCCATTGATGGACCAAAAAAGACTATTCATGAATGGCAGCAGGTAAACATTGTGCAAAGTGTTAATTTAATGTGTCTGTATAAAAAATGTGTATACTACCAAATTACAGACATTTTATGAATGGAGTAGTCGAACAAAAAAAAGCTCGAGATAATTTAAGATACATGATGGAGACTGGAGGAGGACCTGGACTTGACAATTATTTAAATGACATCGAAGAATTACTGATAAGCATACTGAAGTGGGTTACAATCAATGGCATGAATGTAAGTGAACTAGGCGTTTATAAGTCTAAGACTGTGTGTAGCAAAGTAAGGAAAGAGATGCATCAAAAGAAAATGACTATTTCTGTGGCACCAAATACAAGAAAACGTAATTTCCTAATGCAATTTGTTATAAAAGTACCAGTTTTCTTTTAGGACCTAGACTTCTTCAGAAGCGTATTATGCATACTTTTGATCTTAAACAAAAGTTGTATTTGCAATCCATCAAGGAATTAAGAACTGCCATTATAAATTTGTTTACTTCCATTGATAGAGTAAGTAATTTATACATGAATATGCATATTAATGATTAAGTAACTGTAACTATTAATTAAAATACATCCGCACTATTCTAGTTCGTACTTGTTCACCCTGATACCTCTCATGTCCATTTTGTAGCTGTTGCTGATCATGTTCATCTTGTACATATTCATCTTCTGGAACATCTAAAGGTAAAATATGAATTAACATTTGACTTCATCAGCATTCGGCATTACCATCAATTAAAGCTTGATCTCCATGCAATATACACATATTGTGTAAAACAGCACAACTATTTACTATTTTAGCTGCAACTGGTGGGCTGTAATGCAAAACTCGGTGTTTAAGGAGACACCGAAATCTTGTTTTAAGAACTCCGTTCAACCTTTCGATCACATTTCTTACACTTCTATGTGCAATATTATAAGCACGTTTTGCATCTGTATCAGGAGCTGTTATGGGTGTCATCAGCCATGGTTCGAGTGGATACCCAGAATCGCCTTCAACAAAACTTTGTATAGATTCCCCATACATGTACAGTGATTATAATACCAAGTAAATAGGAGGTATGGCCTGCTTGATAACTATTATATAAATTTTGTCGTATTTGGCTTGTGCCCCAAATAGCTGCATCATGAACTGATCCGGGATAACGAGCATTTAATGCTAATATTTTTTAATTTGCATCACATATCTGTCACAAAATTATTTTGTTTTCATATCAGATTAAAAAGCTATGAATACCTTACAATTTGTACATTAAGGCTGTAGTATCCTTTTCTATTATAAAATAATATTGCAGGATAATCAGGATGATTAATTGGAGGAGCAACTATTGCAATGTGTGTGCAATCAACAGCACCAACAATACCTGGGAACCCATGGGCCATATTCATAAAACTATAATTTGGAATGTGTATGAGCGTTATAGTTGCAAATTAATTAACATACCCTTGCTTAACAAGCGTTACTTCCTCTTGTGTTTGTGGAAAACGTACATAATGGTACAAATTTTCCAAAGCATTAACAACAACTGTTAAACATTTACTAACAGATGACTGGCTCATACTTGTACAAAAATCTTGCCCGACGGCTTTTTGGTAGCTGCCATGGGCAAAAAAATGCAACGCCACCATAATCTGAAAATAAAGAAATTCATTCCTCATTCATAGCATCTAAACTAAATATATAACTTACTTTTAATTTTTTCGGGATAAATAATTCTTCACGTTCTGCATCTTGCAAATGAGGCGAGAGCTCTAAAATGAGATTATGTATACCATCTCTCTCGACAATCGGTACAGTGATCGAAACTGAGTTTCTGGCATAGACATGGGATCACTTTGATCCCGTAAATTTCGTCGTATTAATGCAGCATTATTTCTAGAATGAAAAGAAATTATTAATCAAGTGATTAGTAGCAAACATTCTACCGCTGTTCGTCTTCCACAAGTGCATCGATTAACAAAATAAATCCGTCTGCCATAATGATTTATTTAACAAATCACATTCAAATTCAAGTACACCTAACCTCAAAATATGAATTCAGGCGTTGAAAATCGAAAACAAGTACCTAATCGAGCTTGTTTAGTTTTCAACGGTTATTAGAAATAATTCAACGCCGTTGAGGTCATCGTAATCACAAATTATAAACAACGTTGACATTTTCTCAATAATTGATGAAATTTCAATGTCGGATACATTTCAATGGTCACCAGAATAAGGCCGAATATCCCATACGTGGCAGCACAAAGTTTTAAATTCAAGTCAAAGTATTGGGGTGGTTTAAAATATTGATATTCAATTACTTTTGAAAGTGGGAGAGCCTTTGGAAAATAAACTATCAATTATGTGCTTGATAGATGAGAAAATACGAAACAAAAGCACATATCAAAGAACAGAAAAAACAAAGATATTTAATAGTACATTATATATCAAGGTAGAGAAGTCCACTATTATTGCCTGAGCACCAAGATTACATCTCGAGGCGCTTGCGCCGAGGGGTGGAAGGTGCGAAGGCAATAATAGACTTCTCTACCGTGGTATATATACTATTTTTTTCACTACTAGCACTTGAAATCCTCTAAATTAACATATTATATTGATAAGAGAGTTAACGGTTGGACAGAATTGTTTGTTTCTTAATTTAACATGTCAATCAAGTACGTGGAAGTACAAGTCAAACAGGCCGTATTTTGTTCTGTCATTGAGATTTTTCAAAGAGTAATTTCGTTCGAATTTTTTCAAAATGTGATAATTTTAGGTATGTAATTTCTCTGGAAATTGCGAATGGTGGCAATTATTCGTTTTAGAGAACATGTCTAAACGTTCATTGAGCGAAATTTCGGGTTGTGTTTTCTAAAAGTGACAGCGTGACAGTTCTCATTATTGACTACTAGTTAATCATAAAAAAATATTAACCACTTTGAACAAATGCCGAGAAAGCCTACTTTACAAGTGGAAAAAAGGTTAATAATCATGTCATCAGACGCTAGTAGTGAAAAAAATCCATTACGTTGATTACAGTGCTTCATCGGAAAGATGGTTAAACTTTTGAACGGAAAAAGAAAACGGGATCACACGCCGCAAAATAAAAAGATAATCGAATCTGCCTTTTTTCAAGGTAATCCGTTTTCCATATTATTGTGATTAATTATAAGATGTGGCACTCTGTCTACGTCACTTTCCATTAAATTTCCTTCTCTTGCCACATAATGGTACATATTTCCGGACTGACTTGGAGTATATTTACACAGCGGGCTTCCAATAATTGAATCGCAACACAATTAAGTTGAATGTAATTGCATATCATCGTATTTCCCTACTTAAAAAGGTCAAGATAGATCCTTCATTGTATAACAAATTTAACACAATTTCGTCATTGCGTTGTCTCCACTCAAGAATGATTTGTAATGTTTCGATCAATTTTAAATGTCACTGCAACGGCTGGCAAATTTGATTAATACGGGACTGGGGTTGCTAAAGTATAACGTAAAACGAATAAATCGTATGAAGTTGATGTTCGAGCTTCGAAATCCATTTTTAAATAACACTTGACATAACGGCCGTAAATTTTAAAATTCATCCACACATTTTATATTTTTCTGGGTGCTACTAATATTTTACGTTGGAGACTAGAATTGCGTCTAAATTTTGCCTTGAGTAGTAATGGTAAGGTGATTCATTGAGAAACAAAGTCTAATTTAAGAAAGTTGACTAGTGCGCCGAGAAAAGGTATTTCCTAGGGTATTTCCGATTAATAAAATTTAGTTATAGTCAATAAGATAAAGTATAAATTATCAAATATAACTATTATTAAATAATTATTTACTACAAATGTATAAATATAATACTGTGTGCAATGGCACATTGTCAACTACACCACTCACGAATCACCACTCCAGCAGCTAGCTCAAATAAATCAAAAATGGAAACTTTTATGCTCTCCTCGTACACCTCCGGCATTCACTACAAAGCAAAATCCTAATAATGGCGCAAATTTAATTCAGTAGCCTCGGTCATCTTCCGAATATATGATGAATCAATTACATAAATTTTGTTTAACCTTGAGATAAGTCTTGGGAAGAGAAAAGTTTATCTGGGTCGCACAATGGATTCAAATAAACACACAATGACAATGACAAAGAAATTCATTGCGAGCACACAAAACGTCTGCATGATCTTGTTTACACAACAGTATGTTTATTTTTGACACGCGTATTTGTTTTGCCAACTATGAAAAGCTTCAAGAGCGGAAAGAGGTGCTATTACACTTACGTAAGAGATCAGGAAATGATATTTAGTTCATGCCTAAAATACACTAAACCTTGACTAAAACTATCTTTGGTATTGTGATATGTAATTTCATATATCATTAAACCTTCGATGTAAACATCAAATTGAATCAAAAATTGAGAAGTAAATAACAAGATTTCAGAAAACATGGTTAGTACTTTTTGTTAAATTTGACTACAAGACAAACTATACGACTATAATTATAGATCTGGACCGTGAGGGCAGGGGATTTCGCCGCAAGGATGCAAACATCTATTCTTTATTTCACGGGAAGAATTCGCATTCATTCCTTATCGCGAGTGACTAATCCTTGGATCCTGGATAGCGCTTTGATGGCGACCTGATGGCGTCGCGATGTCGATTTGGATAGAATATTCGCTACAGTATGTTTTAAAAACAATTTATGGCTGTCATAATGAGCTCACCGAAAATACTGGACTATGGCACCAGTCGCAACAACCATAAAGGGTTCCGCTGGAACTGCTTGTAGAGTTTTTAGTTTCTAATGTCACGAAAGTACCATAAAATGGGGCGAGTGTGAATACATTTGCAACTTTAGATACCTGCAAGTTTTTACAAGTGATTGATTTCCAGCACCTCGTTCTAGTTCACTTCTGTAAGCAACCAAACCTTCGATTTGTAGAATTAGTTGCACGTATCTTTTAATGGGAATACTGCGTTTTAATTACAAAAATTATTTTACGGAAATCAACACTCTTAAACGTTAAAAGTATATTTGATGTAAATAATTAAAAGAATCCAATGTAATACAAAAATTCAAATCCTTTTATATACTTAAGTTAAATAGAATTCATTTTTATTATACTCGTACTTCATTGAAATCACCTTATTTACATCTATATTAGAAATAATGGAAGTGGACCTTTTTTAGGGTAGGGCATGGAAAAAGTTTGTGACCCCTTTGATTCTTTCCGTGCTCTGAATAAATATACCCCATATATGGCTTTAAATTAGAAATTTACAGCAAAGTAAATTAAATTTGAGAAAATCTACCTATGATGTATTTTAATTCGTAAATTGAATATTTAGATAAATTTCTTTGACATTTTAAGCTTGACGTTTCGTCAGCCTTATCTAAGAGTTAGTAACAAATCACATTTGAAATTATTTAAGAGTAACGATGAAAACGCATTTATAATTGTTATAAAATACAAATGTTAATAGTTTTTGTTTTTTATGTTATCGATTTCAAAGAAGTATAATAAAAATTATCGTTCATTACACGTCCAGAAGGAACAAGTCTTTTTTAGACTCCTTTTTTCTTCCAGGCGTTGGACATCCTCGGACGACTCAATTGACCTTTTCGACATTCCTTCAAGAGAACAACACCCATGCATCACATTTTATATTCATCTTACTTACTTCCTTATTATAGGTCCTTTCACAACGATGTTAACGGTTGATACCAGGACCCTTCTTTTGCTCTCATGAAGGCCACCAAAATTTCAGAATAACTTTTGTAGGCCATGCTTCTATCTATTTTGGCTCATGTCTGTTGCCTTCTAGAGCACACATGTAACATTTTTTTTGGCATTTATATCAGAGATTTCCTACTTCTCCGCAGTAAACATTGCTTTTCTGTAGATGTGGCTCTGTTCCTCAATCTTCCGGCACATCTTGTACTTAGTTATTTCTACCCTTCTGCCCAACCTGCAGGGTGCTACTCTCACCCAAATACGTAGAAGCGTGTCTAATTTTACCGCTGCCCTTTTGTCTGCATAAATCGTGGTTACTCTCCTATGCCCTTCTACCGCCTTCAAGGGTTTAATTTCCACATTCCCGTTCCCTCTTCAAGACTCCTTGCACCACTTCCACATATTTGTCTTGCAGGAGCTGGTTTACGTCTCACACCATCTCCTCTAGAGGTTACTTTGCCGTATCCCGACCGATCATCTCCCTTGTCTCGGCTACGTCAATGTTTCTTTTGTTGAGTGTGACCTTGTTTGGTTTTCTGAATAGCCTTCACCGATTGAACGGGCGTTCCCTCTAACGCCTTCGTCGCATCTAAATTTGTGTAAGACTTAAACTTTTCTTCGACGAGGATGCTGACTTGTTGATTTTTGCGGCTTTCCTTTTAGAATTCAAATTCTTCCACAGAAACTCCGACAGAGCTGAATTTTGGTAGAGACGAAGAAAGAAAATGCGAAAAGTCCCAGTAGATCCCAAGTGTGCTAAAGAAGTTATCCAAGGGCAAAAAATTTTCAAAATTTTCGGTTTTTTGGGATTTTTCTCGAAAACAGTAGGTTTTATTAAACATAGCTTAGACAAATATTGTAAATCATTAAATTATCTGCAAAAATGATCACCATTCCTAAGATATTGCCCTTTGAAGGAGTTACATTCTACACATTTCCACACCGCCAGTGAGCGGTGAGGTAGTATACTTGGCGCGTTTTTGTAACGTGGTTTCCCCGGTAGGCCTAGTCCACTATCTGTTATGACGGATTTTTATGGGAAAATACTGTATTTACGACATGACGATTATTGATTTTGAAATTGATATATAGGTAATTTAAAGTGTAGTTCTGATTTCTGTTAATATTTTAATCTGATTCGTAATTTTCAAATTCGACTTCAACAGGCATGTGCCCTTCGCCCCTTGCTGTTTTCTCCGGCCACATTATCTGAACAATGCTCAGTATCTCTTCCGTAGTGCGCGCTTCATTAATGAGAGCCCGAATCTCGTTCATCTCCCTTTTACAGCGGCGGTACACATCCTCTTTTGCCTTTCCCTGT